AGGATAAAAAAAATGATAAAAAAATGAAAAAAAAATATAAAAAAAAATAAAAAAACTGGAGGAAAATTGCAATTTTTCATTTTTTTTGGAAAATTGCAATTTTCCTCGTTTTTTTTTTTTCATTTTTTTTCATTTTTTTTCATTTTTTTATCATTTTTCATCATTTTTTGAATCATTTTGCATCAATTCCACCACTGGTAGCAAAAATGATAAAAAACATATAAAAAAATGATAAAAAATGAAAAAAGCCGAGGAAAATTGTAATTTTCCATTTCTTGGAAAATTTTTGCACCACTGGAAGCAAAAATGATGAAGAATGATAAAAAAATGTTAAAAAAATGCAAAAAAATGAAAAAAACTCGAGGAAAATTGCAATTTTTATTTTTTTGGAAAATTGCAATTTTCCTCGTTTTTTTCCCATTGTTTTTTCATTTTTTTATCATTTTTTTATCATTTTTCATCATTTTTTATCATTTTTCATCAATTCCACCACTGGAAGCAAAAATGATAAAAAAATGAAAAAAACTCGAGGAAAATTGTAATTTTCCATTTCTTGGAAAATTTTTGCACCACTGGAAGCAAAAATGATGAAGAATGATAAAAAATGATAAACAAAATGATAAAAAAAATGAAAAACAAATAAAAAAAAAAGAAAAAAACTCGAGGAAAATTGCAATTTTTCATTTTTTGGAAAATTGCAATTTTCCTCGTTTTTTTTCATTTTTTTTCATTTTTTTATAATTTTTCATCATTTTTTAATCATTTTTCATCAGTTCCACCACTGGAAGCAAAAATGTTAAAAAAAATGAAAAAAATGAAAAAACTCGAGGAAAATTGGAATTTTTTTGCACCACTGGAAGCAAAAATGATGAAAAATTAAAAAAATGATAAAAACATGAAAAAAATGAAAAAAACTCGAGGAAAATTGCAATTTTTCATTTTTTGGAAAATTGCAATTTTCCTCGTTTTTTTTTCATTTTTTTTATCATTTTTTTATCATTTTTTTTATCATTTTTCATCATTTTTTGAATCATTTTTCATCAATTCCAACACTGGAAGCAAAAATGATAAAAAAATGAAAAAAAACTCGGAAAATTGTAATTTTCCATTTCTTGGAAAATTTTTGCACCACTGGAAGAAAAAATGATGAAAAATGATAAAAAAAATGATTAAAAAAATGATTAAAAAATGATAAAAAATGATAAAAAAAATGATAAAAAATGATAAAAAAAAATGATAAAAAACATGAAGATGATAAAATAAATGATAAAAAAATGATGAATGCAATGATAACCAAAATGATAAAAAAATGAAAAAATAAATATTTTAAAGATTTCCAATGTGTAGCTGGCTCGGTTCTTCATAAATTTAGATTTTTCTTGTTCTTGGATGAACAGCCTTGACAAAAGGTTGTTACATTCAATTCTATGCTACCAACCATGTGGAAACAAAATTGGGAAAAACAATATATATTGTTTTTAACTTTTTCTGAAAATATACAAAAAAACAAATTTTGACCAAATTTGACCAAATCTGACTTTTGGTCAAATTTGGTCAAATTTTTATTTTTCTATTTTTTATTATTATGTTGTTTATTTTTTTTTATTTTTTTGTATTGAAACAATTTCAAAGGTGAAAATCTGGCCACAACCTTTTGTCAAGGCTGCAATCCAGACAGCACCCAATGCTTATACCTTGGATTCACTCTGAGTTTGAAAGTGGAAAACCTGTGCCCCAAATGGTTTCTTACCAATTGTGTTTCATACTGGAATGAATTTTGGGGAGGAATGGTTTGAAATACAAAATTCAAAAACACCTATGGCTGCTGAACCCCTTGAACAAAACAAAATTCAAAATATTTCACATAAAGATTTGAAAGGCAACTGGAAAATATTCCCTTGGTTGTAAAATTGCACCAGGAATACCAAAAAATATATGGACACTTCCAATGAACAATTTATTTTTGTCAAAGTATATTATTTCAAAATAGTATCTACCTTTTCTATAGAACCCCCTGAAAGACAGATGGCAAGGGCATGTAGCTGTAAGAGTTGTTGACTTGGAGGCTGTTGCCTTGGAGGCCTGCGGAAGCGTTTGGAGCGTTTGAAGGCGGGCAAACGGCAGTCTTGAACCCCCTGAAAAACAGATGGCAGAGCATGTATAGCTGTAAGAGTTGTTGCCTTGAGATGGCAAGGGCATGTAGCTGTAAGAGTTGTTGCCTTGGAGGCCTGCGGGAGCGTTGGGAGCGTTTGAAGGCGGGCAAACGGCAGTCTTGAACCCCCTGAAAAACAGATGGCAAGGGCATGTATAGCTGTAGCTGTATAGCTGTAAGAGTTGTTGCCTTGGAGGCCTGCGGAGGCGTTTGGAGCATTTGAAGGTGGGCAAACGGCAGTCTAGAACCCCCTGAAAAACAGATGGCAAGGGCATGTAGCTGTAAGAGTTGTTGACTTGACTTGGAGGCCTGTTGCCTTGGAAGCCTGCGGAAGCATTTGGAACATTTGAAGGCGCAAACGGCAGTCTTGAACCCCCTGAAAAACAGATGGCAAGGGCATGTATATATAGCTATAGCTGTAAGAGTTGTTGCCTCGGAGGCCTGCGGAGGCGTTTGGAGCATTTGAAGGCGGGCAAACGGCAGTCTTGAACCCCCTGAAAAACAGATGGCAAGGGCAGACAATTGTTGCCTTGGAGGCCTGCGGGAGGGTTTGGAGAGGCCTGCAGGTAAACGGAGGCGTTTGGAGCATTTGAAGGTGGGCAAACGGCAGTCTTGAACCCCCTGAAAAACAGATGGCAAGGGCATGTATAGCTGTAGCTGTATAGCTGTAAGAGTTGTTGCCTTGGAGGCCTGCGGAGGCGTTTGGAGCATTTGAAGGCGGGCAAACGGCAGTCTTGAACCCCCTGAAAAACAGATGGCAAGGGCAGAGAGTTGTTGCCTTGGAGGCCTGCGGGAGGGTTTGGAGAGGCCTGCAGGTAAGAGTTGTTGCCTTGGAGGCCTGCGGAGGCGTTTGGAGCATTTGAAGGCGGGCAAACGGCAGTCTAGAACCCCGAAAAACAGATGGCAAGGGCATGTAGCTGTAAGAGTTGTTGACTTGGAGGCTGTTGCCTTGCTGAAAAACAGATGGCAAGGGCATGTATAGCTGTAGCTGTATAGCTGTAAGAGTTGTTGCCTTGGAGGCCTGCGGAGGCGTTTGGAGCATTTGAAGGCGGGCAAACGGCAGTCTTGAACCCCCTGAAAAACAGGTGGCAAGGGCAGACAGTTGTTGCCTTGGAGGCCTGCGGGAGGGTTTGGAGAGGCCTTGGAGGCCTGCGGAGGCGTTTGGAGCATTTGAAGGCGGGCAAACGGCAGTCTTGAACCCCCTGAAAAACAGATGGCAAGGGCATGTAGCTGTAAGAGTTGTTGACTTGACTTGGAGGCCTGTTGCCTTGGAAGCCTGCGGAAGCATTTGGAACATTTGAAGGCGGGCAAACGGCAGTCTTGAACCCCCTGAAAAACAGATGGCAGGGGCATGTATAGCTGTATAAGAGTTGTTGTATAGCTGTAAGAGTTGTTGCCTTGAGATGGCAAGGGCATGTAGCTGTAAGAGTTGTTGCCTTGGAGGCCTGCGGGAGCGTTGGGAGCGTTTGGAGCGTTTGAAGGCGGGCAAACGGCAGTCTTGAACCCCCTGAAAAACAGATGGCAAGGGCATGTAGCTGTAAGAGTTGTTGACTTGGATGCCTGTTGCCTTGGAAGCCTGCGGAAGGGTTTGGAAGGTTTGAAGCCGGGCAAACAGCAGTCTTGAACCCAGACAGCCAAGTTCCACACCTCCGGTGGTCCCAGGCGCCGCCCCTGCCTTGGCAAAGGCCGGGGTCGGCGGATATATATATATATATATACCAAATTGTACCGAGAAATAATCAAACCTTACCGAGAAGTCATCAAATTGTAAAACCGTACCGAGAAGACATCAAATTGTACGAGGAAACATCAAATTGTACTGAGAAATCATGAAATCTCACCGAAAATCATCAAATTGTTCCGAGAGATCATCAAACCGTACCGAGAAATCATCGAACCGTACCGAGAAATCATCATATATTGTACCGAGAAATCATCAAATTGTACCGAGAAATCATCAAACCGTACCGAGAAATCATCAAACCCTACCGAGAAATCATCAAATTGTACCGAGACATCAAATTGTACCGAGAAATCATCAAACCGTACCGAGAAATCATCACATTGTACCGAGAAATCATCATATAGTACCGAGAAATCATCAAATTGTAGGGAGAAATCATCAAACCGTACCGATTAAATCATCAAACCCTACCGAGAAATCATCAAATTGTACCGAGAAATCAAATTGTTTCGAGAAATCATCAAACCGTACCGAGAATCATCAAAATGTACCGAGAAATCATCAAATTGTACCGACAAATCATCGAATTCTACCGAGAAATCATCAAATTGTACCCAGAAATCATCAAATTGTACCGAGAAATCGCCAAACCATACCGAGAAATCATCAAACCATACCGAGAAATCATCAAACCGTACCGAGAAATCATCAAACCGTATACCAAGATTAATCAACAAACCCTGAGCATCGGATATTGATTGTAATCAATACTATTCTGAAAATATTGATTTTAGAGTTTTTTCAATATTTTCTATTGATTTTAACACAGTTCAAAATCAACAGGATTTCTGCCTTTTGGGAATCCACAACACACCAGATAGGATCAACAACTTAATCAATACAAAATTCAACAACATAATCAATATAAAGAAGCTTGAACAACAATAAAATCAATCAAAACCCACAGCTTTTTAGTGCTAGTGTGGACACTCCAGGCTTTATATTACAGTTTTCTTTTTCATCTTCTTTCTTATTTGTCTGGTGAGACTGGGAAGTGAAGCATCCTTTGGTCAAGGATGGCAGACCTATCAGCTGCTTGTGGTGGGTGTCTCCAGGTACCCTTTTGCCAAGGGTGTGGCAGAAAGACCTTTGGTCAAGGACCATCTACCATTCTTCACCATCACTGTCTGGAGACACACCCAAGTCAAACCCAAGTCTTGTCAGCTGCATGTGCAAAAGAATGCGATACTTAATCATGAGCTTGCCTGAAAGTCTTGTTGATTTGACTCCCATAGCCAATGATCTGGCTAATGTTGCCACCCTCCCCACAAAGTCTTCAGATCTGAAGTTCCATGTGTACCTGGGATTCAAGAATTGTGCCTCCTTGACCAGGTGATGTTGGCAATGGTGCTTGTAGACAATGTGGTAAAGTTTATGGTCATTCTTCTGGGCCCACTTGTTCAGCTCTGTGTAATGCCTGCAAAACCTTTGGTCAAGGTCCTGCATGGCTTGAAATTCCTTTGGGCAAGGAAACAGCCCTGCTGCATCAAATGCAGCAACCAAGTCCACCATTGCCTCCAGAGCTCCCACCATGTGTTGGTGAAGGGTATTGTTTGGTTCTAGTATGCTTTTCAGCACTGGTAAGAATGCACTGAGCAAATGTTTTGTCTCTGCTCCTTTTGCTTCTAGTTTGGCATACTCTTGGTGAGGCTTGGAGGGATCACAGATCATGCTCAATCTGAGGTTGGTGAGTCGAGTTGGTGTCTGAAGTTCCTTGTAATTTTCCTGGATCTTGGAGAAAATCAATGCCAGCCTTTGGCTGGGCTGCTTGTTTTGCTTGCCTCTGCCTTGGTTGTAACACACATGGTGAAGCAAAGAGCCAAGCAGGTGTGAACACACACCTTTCACAAAAAGCACATGCAGCCCATCCTGTCGAACCATTCTAATGGTGAGGCCTGGGGTTTCAAACAGCTGGTGCTGGCTTCCTTTTGTCAAGGCTGCTGCTGTGTCAGTGTAAATGAATTTTTGGTTCTCTGGCAGCAATTCTTTGAAACTCTTCCCCTTCTCACAAGGCTTGCCTTTTATGAAAGGTTGCTGGGCATCACAAGCATGGCAGCAGTTGTGGGAATTCCAATGGGGCAGGTGAAGAACATTGCTGTACATTTCTTGGTCCCCTTGAATGGACCAAAGCACAGCCCTGTAACCTCTGCCTGTGAGGGGCTGCCCAGCAAGCTGTTCAAAAATGGACCCTTTTGGCAAGGGTTCATTGTCAGGGCCAAAACATGGGTGTAAGCCTTCTTGCAGTGCTTCCAAAGACCATCGCACCCATTGCATGATGGGGGTCCAGGTGTCAGAGACTGTTGCAGATTTTGGCCAAGCACAGATCAGGAAATGGGAAGTCAAACTGCTATGTGCATTGAGAAACCCACCCCAATTCCAAATCATCAGGGAGTCTCTACTCTGGAACTCGACTCCATCAGCATGAATGAATATTGGAATGGTAGTCTCAGGGTCTTGCACCTGCCTTTTGGCAAGGCCCTTCCTTTTGTCAAGGCAGATGGGGTGGCCCTGCAGTCGATCATCCTGGCAAGCTTCAACTCCTCTCCAAAATTCATTCAGATGTTCAACACCAAACAAAGTTTCAAACTGATCTGTATAGTGGTGGAAAAGGTCTGCAAATAAAATGTGTGGCAGCAGAATGCCAGCTTTTTCCATAGACACCTGTGAAGTCTTTGGGTCTTTGCATTTTGTTTCAACTGGTGTGCTGCCAGAAATCTTGCAGTCCTTGGTGAAGCTGGCACACAAATCTCTGTGGCAATTCCCAGGTAATGACCCATGACTTCCTGTTTTGGCAATGGTTGCCAAGTCATGGCCACTGGACCCAGTGAGAATTGCTTTGTGGGCAACATCTTGAACTAGTTTTGCACTAAGCTGCCCATGGCTCCACAAGGACAAAAGTGTTTGTGCCAGCACACTCTGCTCACCATCCCCTTTGGTCAAGGGCTCTGTCTCTAGCTTGGCCAGCTCCAAACCATGGCCCCTCAGTCTTTTGACTGGCTTCATGCTGCCCTTTTGTCAAGGGCACTGAGCACAAGCCTTTGGGCAAGGCATGGCTCTTTCCCCTTTGAGGAAACACTTGAACCAAAACTTTGCACAACACTTGGCTTGCCAACCCTGCAGACCCTGCCAACCCTGGAGGCTTACCAACCCTTGGTGCTTCTTAAGCTGTATGCTTTTTACAGCCCAAGTGGCTGACTTACTTATTAGATACCCAGAAAAAACTTGTGTGGTTTAGACCCTTGGTGCTTCTTAAGCTGCATGCTTTACAACCCAAGTGGCTGACATACTTATACATACCCAGAAAAAACTTGTGTGGTTTAGTGGTGTGGTGTGCAGCCCCCCAACCCCCTGAACCACTTAAGTGGCTGTGCTGCAGCATTTTTTTGACTTGATGCCTGCTGTCGGTTTGCCAGCCAAGAGACCCTACATCACCCTTTGGTCAAGGGGAGAAGGTCTCATGTGGCTGCCTGTGCCTGCCAATTGCCTGGGCAATGGCAACATCAAAAACTGAAAGCCAATCACCTTTTGTCAAGGATATGGCGACATCAAAAACTTGAAGCCAGTCACCTTTGGGCAAGGTAGCACTGGAATTTAAACAAGATACTACCCTTTGCCACTAGCTATAGGTGTACTCTTTTGTCAAGAGCACACAGGGTCCTTTGGTCAAGGGCCCCTTTCAAAGCATTGTTGCTTCACTTTTTGCTGCTTTTGGAAAAGCTCTTGTTTGCCAATGCCTTGTATTCTTTCACTTCTGTTTTGACTTGGTTGGTGCATACCACTGCATCTTTGATGGTTTGCTTTGCTGCTTCCACATTGCCACCCTTTTTTTATTTGTAATTTCTTTGAGCTTTTGTTCCCATTCTTGGGCATGTTTCAAAGTCAGTTGTGCTTCCTTCCTGTCTTGCTTGGAAGTTCTGCCTGCTTGGTTAGCAGCTTCCAAAGCTTCTTCCAAGTTTCCCACTGCCACCCTGAGATGCTCTTTGGATTTTTGTGCTTTTGTCAAGCACTCAGCCCATTGCTCTTCAGGTGTCTTCTTGTCTTTGTCATCTTCTGTGTCATTTGGGTCACCATCCTCTATGGCCAGCACTCCTCTGCCTCTTCCTTTGCTTCCTTTGCTCCCTTTGCCTTTTGTCAAGGCACCTTGGCCCTTACCTTTTGTCAAGGCAGGGCCCTGGCCTTTGAAGGCAACCTCAGCCTCCTGCATGCTGGCCAAAGAGCCTTTGCCCCAATAGCTCATGAACTCCTTTTCATCCTCTGCATCATCCATTTCCCTTTCCTGCCCCACTGTGACTTTGTGCTTTTTCTTCAGCTGGACCTGTTTGGTCAGGTCCCCCTGGTCACAGTATTGGTAGATGCCAGGGGTCCATGGGTCTGAGCGCCATTTGACCCTTCCTGATGCCAAGTGCTGTTCAAATTCATCTTTGCTGAAATCCTGCAGCATCTTGTGTTCACTGACCCATTTCTCACCTTTTGTCAAGGTTTCACTGGCTTCTTTGGAGGTTTCTGTATGGAAGAACACACCTTTCTTGGGCTTGAGAAACCAAAGAGCAACTTCAAGTCCTTTTTCCTTCTTCCCCAACTGCTCATGAGCCTCTTTCTCTTCTTCCTTTCCCTTCAAATAGGTTTTGTGCTTGGACCACAGCTTAGCAGATTCATCTTTTGTCAAAGAATCTTTTAAGACTATGGCTGCTTCCTCTGCTGTGTTTGCTTTTTCTGTTGCTTTTTTCACTTTCTCATCCAAAGTCAGCTTGCCCAGCTGGGCAAGCTTACCTTTTGTCAAGGTAGCTCTCTGATGTTTCCCTGTGGCTTTGCTTTTGCTTTTGGCTTTGGCCTTACTTTTTCCCTTTGGGCAAGGGCTTGCTTTGTTTTTCAAAATTCCAGGTTTCACTTTCTTTTTTGGTGCCATGTGCAAGAAGCTAGAGCTTGCAGATCCTACTCCTTTGGTCAAGGAGAGTACATTTGCCTTTTGAACCAAAAGACTGAACACACAGAAACAGAATCAAACTTGGATGCCTTCCTATTTGCCTGTTGAGAAACTTTGACAAAAGAGTTTCACATAAGCTTTTTAAACACATATATTTTCCTAGGCCAACAGCTTTGGGAAAACTAAATTTAGATTTATCTTGTTCTTGGATGAACAGCCTTGACAAAAGGTTGTTACATTCAATTCTATGCTACCAACCATGTGGAAACAAAATTGGGAAAAACAATATATATCGTTTTTAACTTTTTCTGAAAATATACAAAAAAAAATTGACCAAATTTGACTTTTGGTCAAATTTGGTCAAATTTGGTCAAATTTTTATTTTTCTATTTTTTATGATTATGTTGTTTTTTTTAATTTTTTTGTATTGAAACAATTTCAAAGGTGAAAATCTGGCCACAACCTTTTGTCAAGGCTGCAATCCAGACAGCACCCAATGCTTATACCTTGGATTCACTCTGAGTTTGAAAGTGGAAAACCTGTGCCCCAAATGGTTTCTTACCAATTGTGTTTCATACTGGAATGAATTTTGGGGAGGAATGGTTTGAAATACAAAATTCAAAAACACCTATGGCTGCTGAACCCCTTGAACAAAACAAAATTCAAAATATTTCACATAAAGATTTGAAAGGCAACTGGAAAATATTCCCTTGGTTGTAAAATTGCACCAGGAATACCAAAAAATATATGGACACTTCCAATGAACAATTTTTTTGTCAAAGTATATTGTTTCAAAATAGTATCTACCTTTCTATTTATATATATATATATAAATATATATTTATATTTAACTATATGTGCAAAACATGCCCAGATAAACAAATAATATATATATATATATATGCCTCAAAGCCTTGTTCAAAATAACATTTACAAATATCACCAGAACAAAAGTTGAACAACATTGAAACCATTTACTGTATTTCAAAATACTCTGAATGAAAGAATTGAAAGATAACCACTACCCATAGGTTCCATATATTGTAAAGTAAGTGCAGTTTGCCCAAAATAGTTCTTAATAAAATTGTTTTGTTTTTCAAAAATATTCTTATTGAATTTTATTATAATCTTTATTTATTTGTTATTTTTATTTTTCATTTTCATCCATATTGTGTGCTCATCACCTTGCTTCATTCCTTTTGTCAAGGAAACAGCAGTGATGTGAAACTGGCTGGTCCCTTCTTGTCAGGGATGCAAGCCCTTTGGTCAAGGGACTTGCCACCAGCCATAAAAATTCTGCAAAACTACTGGCAATTCCCTTTTGTCAAGGGGAGGTGCCTACAAACCCTTTTGTCAAGGGAATGTGTGGCCCCCTACTTGCCATCCAAAAAGTGCCACACAGCCACATCAAAACTGGGGTAGGTGTTCATACCCCAGCCATGGGCATTCCACCAGGGCACAATTGCCCAGCACTCAATACCCCACTGGCCACACTCTTGGATCACATCCCACCTGTCATCAAACAGGATCTTGATGCCTGCCCTGTGCAGAGCTTGGGCCTTCCCCTCCCTGCCACATGGTTTGTGGCAAAAGATTTTGCCACACCAGTTGCTGTACACCCCATCACTCAGGAAATCTGTTTCCTTTTGCCTGTCTGGCCCAGAGTATGAACATAGGAAAATGTCATACCCTGCATCCTCCAGCTTCTGCAAGGCCCTCCTGTTGGCACCAGACACATTATTTCTGATTTCCAAGGTGTGGTGCCAATCCACTGCAATTCTTGGCCTCTTGGGCTGCCAGCTGTACCTTTTGTCAAGGTACTCTGGTGCTTCTTTGAGTGTGAGGCCTTCCTCCTCTTTCACCTTTTTGGCAGGTGGCTCATGGTCTGATGATGAAACATCAGATGCATCCCAGTCAGGTGATGAACTTGCTGGTGAGCTTGATGAGCTGCTGGTCTGGGGCTTGCTCTCCTTTTGCTTTTCTTTTGCTTTTTCTTTTGGGCTGGGGCCAAATGGTTTTGGAACCTCCCTTTTGTCAAGGTTGGTTCTTTCTTCCCATTTTTCAACCTCTGTTTGCACTTTGCTTTTGTTTGGTTTGGGTGCCTCCTGCTTGATCTCTTGTTTGGGATCTACTTTTTCCATTGCTTGCTTTGCAGCCCCATCTGATTTTGGATCTCTTTTGTCAAGAGATACTGGCTCAGTTTTGGCTTGGGCATCCTTGGTGTCAGGACTAGCCTCCCTTTTGTCAAGGTTGGCTGAAGAGCTTGCCCTTTTGCCATCCTTTGCTGTTTTGCTGCTTTTTTCAACTTTTTGCAGTCTTGCTCCAGTTTTTCTTTCTCCTTTCTTTTTTCTTCTGCTTCCTTGGGCCACAAATAGTCATGCAACTCCTGTTTTGTCAACAGGTGTGGCTTTCCATATGTTTTGTCAACAGCTGCTTTTGCCCAATCTATGTTGACATCTTCAAGTCTCATGTTTTTATTTTCTCTTTCCATTCCTTTTTTCCTGATTTTTTCTTTCCTGGCCTCTGTGGTGGTGCCAGTGCCCTGTTTTTTCCCCTTGTTGTTGAGCATGGCCCCTTTTGTCAAGGGAGCTTCCACAAGCTTTCTTTTGTCAAGAAAGCTAAAGAGGGGAAGCCCTTTTGTCAAGGGCCTTTACTCCTAGTAGTCAAGCTTGAGTTTTCAAACAGCTGCAGTGGTAGAAAGGCCTGCCAGGTGTGAACCCCCCTTTAGTCAAGGCACCCAAAAGAACATGCATTGCATATTTTTCAGTGTGTTTCTCTAAAATTCCATGAAAAAACACCCTGAGAAAGTTTCCATACATTTGAAATCAAGTTGGTGGGGCCAAACCATGAGAAAACCATCATGACACTTTGGTTGGGTTATCCACTTTTGTATCTGTTTTCATGTGGTGTATATCTTCATTTGTTGTCAGAAAATGTGTACTTGATTGGTATATACATAATATATATATATTTGTGTATATAATCAGTTTTCAAAATTTCAGTATATACTTAAAAAATAAATGTATATGCATATGAATGTATATATATATATATAGAGTGTTTTGTTTGTAATATATATATATACATATTTTTGTTTTTTAACATTTATTTAAATATATAATTCAATTATTTATATTTAGTTCATTTATTTCATTTATTTGTTAATATATTTTCACCCCTTAATAATTTGTTCTTGTTGGCAACCTTTGGGCAAGGAGCCTGGGGTGAAACATACATAGCCCAACCATGTCAAACCTTTTGTCAAGGAATGACAGGTATCTGTGCAAGGGCCAGCCATGCATCAATTGGGCAGATATCTATAGCACCACCATTGCCTTTGCTGACTGAAACCCTTTTGTCAAGGGTAGGGGGCCCTTTTGGCAAGGAACCCCCAGGGCCAAAAGCCTTAGCTCAGCAACTCTTCTCTCAAAGCTCTGGCTTGCTCTTTGGTTAGATGCTCAGCTTGCAGCCTTCTGTGGATAACCCCAATCACCTCTCTGTATTGTGGGGTCATTTTCTTTGTCACTTCGGCTATGTGGTGAATAGGTTCAGGTGGCCCATGGCTTCCTTGGATGTAGGCCCTTTCTGGGTTCCTGGGATAGGTTACCTTCAAGGTTTTCCATGGCTGTTTTTTTGTGCTTACTGCAGCTGCAGGCCTTTTCATTTTGGAACCCTTCTTCTCTTTTTTGCATGTTTGTTTTTTACCCAAGGCCAAAGCTTTTGTCAAGCTTTGGTCTTGGTCCTTTGAGTTCCAGCTTGGTCTCTTTAGCACCAAAGAACCCTTTCTCCTTTTCAAAAAAGATCCCTCATCAGGTAATGCATTGGAACTGCTTGCTGCTGCTCCTTTTGTCAAGGGGCTGTCCTCCAATGGCAAGGCATTGGATTGCTGTGGGCTTTGCAAGCACTTGGGGAAGCCACTGGAATCCATGGAGATGGCAGAATCTTCTTTCTTAAGCTGCCTCCTTTTGGCAAGGGGGCCAGCTTCTTCTTCCTCTTGCTGCCCCCTTTTGTCAAGGGAAGCAGCTTCTCTTTCCTCATCACTGCTTTGCTCTGTGTCCTTGCCTGCCAAGTTTTGTGCAAGCTCTTTCAGCAGCTGGTATTCTTTTCCACTCACTTTTGCTGCTACTTTTGCAAGCTCTTCCTCAGATTTCAACCTTCTAAGATGAAGGAGGACAGTTGTAACCCTTTCTGCTCTCATGTTGCAGTATACCAGTCCATTGAAGTCTGTTGTGTTTATCTTCGGTTTGTGCTGGACCAGCTTCAGCAATGCTTGCCTCAGAGGACCTGGGTGGATCTCACCTGTGGGGGAAAGATCCAACAAAGCTTCCAACAGAGGCAGGCAATGCACTAGGCCCTTGGCATCTGTGGCTTGCTGCCTGCTGACAGCCTCATACCTTCCCAGTGAAGACACCAAAGAGACATGTTTGTTCAATGTTTGGAAAAGGACAAAGGGGACCACCATTGGCTTGGAGAAGTGCCTTGCCCCACCCCTGCTGGCCATTGCTTCAAAACTAGAATCCTTTGGTCAAGGGTTCCTCCAAAACTAAGCTAGCTTTTGTCAAGCCAGCTACAAAATCTTGATGGATCCTACTTGAGACAGATGGTTGCATATGGCTCTCATGCAGTTTGGCCAGAAGCTTGGCCCATGGCACACACTCAAGATGAAAATCAACAGCAAAATCAATAGGAAAATCAACAACTTAATCAATACTGCAGAGGCATCAAAACATGTACATCTGAAGCCAAATCAATATTTTTGGATGAAAACAAATCAATAAAACAACTTGGTAGTTCTATTGATTTTTTCAATAACAGTTGGACAATCAATATCAATAGAAAACTATCTGTTCCTATTGATTACAATCAATATCCGATGCTCAGGGAATTGTACCGAGAAATCATCAAACCTGTAACCTCTGCCTGTGAGGGGCTGCCCAGCAAGCTGTTCAAAAATGGACCCTTTTGGCAAGGGTTCATTGTCAGGGCCAAAACATGGGTGTAAGCCTTCTTGCAGTGCTTCCAAAGACCATCGCACCCATTGCATGATGGGGGTCCAGGTGTCAGAGACTGTTGCAGATTTTGGCCAAGCACAGATCAGGAAATGGGAAGTCAAACTGCTATGTGCATTGAGAAACCCACCCCAATTCCAAATCATCAGGGAGTCTCTACTCTGGAACTCGACTCCATCAGCATGAATGAATATTGGAATGGTAGTCTCAGGGTCTTGCACCTGCCTTTTGGCAAGGCCCTTCCTTTTGTCAAGGCAGATGGGGTGGCCCTGCAGTCGATCATCCTGGCAAGCTTCAACTCCTCTCCAAAATTCATTCAGATGTTCAACACCAAACAAAGTTTCAAACTGATCTGTATAGTGGTGGAAAAGGTCTGCAAATAAAATGTGTGGCAGCAGAATGCCAGCTTTTTCCATAGACACCTGTGAAGTCTTTGGGTCTTTGCATTTTGTTTCAACTGGTGTGCTGCCAGAAATCTTGCAGTCCTTGGTGAAGCTGGCACACAAATCTCTGTGGCAATTCCCAGGTAATGACCCATGACTTCCTGTTTTGGCAATGGTTGCCAAGTCATGGCCACTGGACCCAGTGAGAATTGCTTTGTGGGCAACATCTTGAACTAGTTTTGCACTAAGCTGCCCATGGCTCCACAAGGACAAAAGTGTTTGTGCCAGCACACTCTGCTCACCATCCCCTTTGGCCAAGGGCTCTGTCTCTAGCTTGGCCAGCTCCAAACCATGGCCCCTCAGTCTTTTGACTGGCTTCATGCTGCCCTTTTGTCAAGGGCACTGAGCACAAGCCTTTGGGCAAGGCATGGCTCTTTCCCCTTTGAGGAAACACTTGAACCAAAACTTTGCACAACACTTGGCTTGCCAACCCTGCAGACCCTGCCAACCCTGGAGGCTTACCAACCCTTGGTGCTTCTTAAGCTGTATGCTTTTTACAGCCCAATTATTAGATACCCAGAAAAAACTTGTGTGGTTTAGACCCTTGGTGCTTCTTAAGCTGCATGCTTTACAACCCAAGTGGCTGACATACTTATACATACCCAGAAAAAACTTGTGTGGTTTAGTGGTGTGGTGTGCAGCCCCCCAACCCCCTGAACCACTTAAGTGTCTGTGCTGCAGCATTTTTTTGACTTGATGCCTGCTGTCGGTTTGCCAGCCAAGAGACCCTACATCACCCTTTGGTCAAGGGGAGAAGGTCTCATGTGGCTGCCTGTGCCTGCCAATTGCCTGGGCAATGGCAACATCAAAAACTGAAAGCCAATCACCTTTTGTCAAGGATATGGCGACATCAAAAACTTGAAGCCAGTCACCTTTGGGCAAGGTAGCACTGGAATTTAAACAAGATACTACCCTTTGCCACTAGCTATAGGTGTACTCTTTTGTCAAGAGCACACAGGGTCCTTTGGTCAAGGGCCCCTTTCAAAGCATTGTTGCTTCACTTTTTGCTGCTTTTGGAAAAGCTCTTGTTTGCCAATGCCTTGTATTCTTTCACTTCTGTTTTGACTTGGTTGGTGCATACCACTGCATCTTTGATGGTTTGCTTTGCTGCTTCCACATTGCCACCCTTTTTTTATTTGTAATTGCTTTGAGCTTTTGTTCCCATTCTTGGGCATGTTTCAAAGTCAGTTGTGCTTCCTTCCTGTCTTGCTTGGAAGTTCTGCCTGCTTGGTTAGCAGCTTCCAAAGCTTCTTCCAAGTTTCCCACTGCCACCCTGAGATGCTCTTTGGATTTTTGTGCTTTTGTCAAGCACTCAGCCCATTGCTCTTCAGGTGTCTTCTTGTCTTTGTCATCTTCTGTGTCATTTGGGTCACCATCCTCTATGGCCAGCACTCCTCTGCCTCTTCCTTTGCTTCCTTTGCTCCCTTTGCCTTTTGTCAAGGCACCTTGGCCCTTACCTTTTGTCAAGGCAGACAGACGCATCCATAGGTATTTTATGCAATTGGGATGCACCCTGAAGGACGAACGAGTCCGAGAATCCCACCCAAAAACTTTTTAACGTCACGTCTGAAACCCTAAAAAAAGAACAGAAAACTTGCAAAAAATTGGCTGCTGCTGCTGCTGCTGCTGCTGCCACTGCACAAAAACACAGCCATACGGCCCTGCCGGACGGGGAAACACGGGAAACACCATGGCCCTGAAGGACGAACGAGTCCGAGAATCCCACTCAAAAACTGTCTAACGTCACGTCTGAAACCCTAGAAACAGAACAGAAAACTTGCA